CTGCAGTCACGGAACCGTAAGCGCCCGCGGACACCGTAAGCGCCGGTGAACGCACCCAGGGCGCAGTAGGCGCCCGCTCGGCAGCATCTCGGCATGGCCAGTTCGTGGTCTTTGGGACACCGTGGACGCCCAGCGCAACCCTCAGACGGAGCCCAGGGCACAGTAGGCGCCCGCGGAATGAGGGGTGGCGAGGGTACAATAGACGCCCAGGGAACAGTAGGCGCCCAGAGCCACCTGCAGAGTGCGCCCAGGACATCATGGACTCCCAGCGAGACCTTCCGATTCAGTCGAGGAGATCATGGGTGCACTTGGAACGAGCCCGGAATGCCCGGGGCATGTATCATACACGCCTACATACACTCAAGGCACCATAGTCGCCTTAGTTGTAGGTCCAGGACACCATGAGCGCCCATAGTGTGGGTCCAGGAAACCCTAAGCGCCAAGGCGCCGTCGGTCCAATAGGCTAGCCACGTGCGCGGTGGTTAGCGTACGCAACGAGGCGGAGATAGCGTCACGGACACGTCATGACAGTGCGGAGTCCTCACGCTCAAAGCGGGGGGCCAATAGGAAACATTCAGAGTCGCTTTTGAGCTCACCGGAGTCAGAGCTCGGCCATGGCGGCAGTGGTTGCACAGCCACTGGTCCCGAAACGTCCGCGATGACTGGCCTTGGGTTAGGGTTAGGTGGTGTTGGCGTCGACCTGCCTGCTGAAGGACTTGTGGCTGACTTGGATGACTTGGGTGGAATGGCGTCCACCCCCAAGTTTCGCCTATATTTATAGGCTCTTCAGATCCGCTTGGTCAGCAATAGTCGCACGTCGCGAGGAACGAGCGACCGGGGCGCAGTAAGGCGCGATGTCAGCAAGGACTCGACTGAGAAAGAACTTGCTATGGAGACTTGTAGAATGACACGCCCTCATTGGAGGGACGTGATACTGATTGCTAAGCGGCCCGCCATAGGCCCGTGTTTGTAAGCGAATATCAGCAAAGATGACTCAACCATTAGTAACAGAGTTTAAAGAAGCTTGACTACCATCAGCCGACGTTCGCCGAAGCTACTGGACCGGAGAAGCATGTCATACGGACATCCCGAAGGCACCGTCCGCTTCCACTTCTATCAAACCTTCGAGATTAATCCGAACTTCTTGCGAAGGGTAGGGTTAGGTTAGGTTAGGTTAGGTTAGGTTAGGTTAGGTTAGGTTAGGTGGTGTTGGCGTCGACCTGCCTGCTGAAGGACTTGTGGCTG